GCTAAGGTAGCCATCCTCGAAAATGTGATGGGTTTCTTGAAGGTGATCGACGAAGTGTTGGCGCACATTGTGTCCATCCTTCCTGGGCCCCCTGTATGCAATTATGTTTTTCTTTGGGAAGCTCATTTGTTTTTAACTTCCATTCTGGCTTGGCAGGTATGAAATATTTTGGGATTTCATTGATCCGAGCCTGGGCTGCAACAAGATGTTTCTTTTGGAATTCTTAGGCTCATGAATGGAAATATCTTTGAACTTGACAGGAGTCAACATGGAAGCCCTATATCCCGACAACGGATATTCATTGTGCTTGTGAAGAGCGAGCTGATGCTGGGGTATGTGAAGGGCAATTTGCAGCGCTTTGGGGAAGCCGTCAAGGAAAGCCTTCGCATTGCAAAGCCAGACGTTACCTGGCAACTTGCCATTATGCATCGGTTTAATGTCTGTTGCTCTATGTGCTAGTCCCTGGTTGCTACAGCTGCTATCTTAGGCAGGAACTTCTTCTACCACGGTCCCACCCTGATGTTCAAGATGACATCACACGGAGGCAGAGGAAAAGAATGAGGGAGTTCGCAAAGATTCTTGGGCCTAACTATATACTTCGTAGTGAAGTGTATAGTCTCGAATTGAATATTTCAACATCATCCCCAATCAGCATGCTTCCCGCCACAAGGAGAGCAAAGACGCAATTATCGACTCCAAAATGGGTAGATCACCACAGGGCCTATGCCGCAAAAAAGGGTTTGTCCGTGGCTTGTCAAAACATAAGATGCTTTCATAGTGCGTATACTGTAATCACCTTGTTCCAACTAATTTGACCACTTGAATCATGTCCCCTGCTTAGGTTTTCCAAGCCCAAGGGACCTTCAGAGCAGCTTTTCCGAGAGCATTCACACAGGTCAGCACCAAGCGCGAAGTGCAGGCTACTGGACTGATTTCAACTGAGTTGATTTTGCCAAACATATGACATACCCTAGATTGGGCTTCTTGTTGCAGGCACTCGACCTGCTCTTGACGGTGAAAGGACCCTTCGAAGCTGTCAACACCAGTCAGAACATACAGAGAATGCCTGCTGTATACCATCAAGACCCATTGATGTGCCTCACGTCCAAATCTTAGATTATTATATAATGTATTCTGCAAGACCAATAACTTCACTAATGTACTACCGCCAAATCAGCTAAGACCATCGGGAAGCTACTTGGTGAGCTGTCAAGAGAGATTCTTGGTTGGTAGCTTGGCTGATCTGGCATGTCACTCACGCCTTCAGGGTGGCAAGAATGCCTCACTCCTGCAGCTGAGGCCGCGAATATCTCATGCTCATGGGACTCCCGACATATAGGATGAGGCTTGGTGCCTTCACTTCTCTTGTTTCTTGGCTGCATTGAGGCAACATAATGTGTGATTGTTTTTTGAGAAATGAAAATTTTATCAAATCTCAGGATTTGAAGCAAATGGCAGGAAATGCGATGGCCCTAAGGGCTGTCGCTGTGGCCATTATCATTGGACTCAGGGCAATTGACCCAGCACTGCTCGAGCGCTACTTGGCAAAGTAGATTGTCTAGTCGAACACAACTCTAGCAAGATTGGAAAAAAGGGGTTGGCTTAAGCACCATCAGTTTTATGTGATCGAAGTTCACATGTCTTATAAACACCAGAAGGCAGAGTGTGGAATCAGTAGCTGTGGGGACTTGAAACTCATGAAACATGTTATATATATATATATCTCTCTCTCTCTCTGCTGGCTCTATGCGACAACAAGTAAGGGGTTTTCAATGGGACCGTTCTACACCCACTGCCGGTCACATGCCTGTCCTCTTTCGATGGGATGACGACGGTGATGTGCAAAAACCAGCTGCCTGGCGGTATGATGAAAGTTCTCAAGAGGAGGATAGTGGCGGGGAATCTTCTTCGTCGAGTTCATCATCGAGTCTTGGAAAAATACTTCAAAACATTTTGAAACATTTTGGAGATCAATAGATATCTATTAACTTATTTTTAATATATACGAGACTCCCTTTCTCAAGGGTATGACTACATGCAACCCTTGCCAGGGAGTCTACTGATTCAGAGCACGATGAGGGCCCTAGCAGCATGGATGCTCCTACTGTCAATCTGACACTGGCTGGAATTCAAAGTTTTCATGGCATGGCTACTCAAGATGATGATTCAGTTTACAGCAGCAATGGTCATGATTCATCCCGGATCCGGGAAGCTTTGAAAACAAGATGCAACTGCACATCCAATTGCTGGATACCCTTTGCTCTTCTGCTTAAGATTTGCACTGCTTTCTGGAAGCTTTCCAAGGGCAGCCAGGATGCTATTCTGTGGAGTTTGCAAACTGTGGGTGGACGTGGGAAATGCAAATACAGTATTGAAGGACACTTGGCTGCAGTAACACATTAGTTATTTTTGGCTGCTTATACCATTTACAATCAATAATTAATTTTACTATTTTGTGGAACCCCTTTTTTCGGAAACACTTTCCATTCAAATAGCATGTTGATGGTTCTGGATATAAATATTGGTGTAGTATTTTTGAAGCTAGTCCCCCAACGCTGACCCTAGGCAATTCTTTATGCAGGGAAGCATGGCTACGGTTCCTGGGGATTGGGAAGAACAGGCTCAACAGGACCAAGAAGCGTCACCGTGGACTTGATGAAAGGAGCTTGAAATGTGGATACTTCAAATCATTTATTATGTATTTTTCATTTTTTTCCACCCCTCAAACTTAGCAGTGGGTATACCCGTATACCGAACAGAATGCATTCCCAAGCTATGTCATCAGGAAATTCTACAAGACCCGCTGTGCAGAGTGGTTCCTGCAATGCATTCTTCATTCACCTTTATTGGACAGCTGGTGAAGCAGAAACAACCACGTAACTTGGTATCAACTGGTAGGGGTGGAAAAAAATGTGGAGAACCCATGCCTTCCTGTTCAATTCTAGACTCAGGATTGCTTCGAAATCCGTGCTTAGTGCGTCTGACCAAGAACTACGAGATGACTTGCCCCTGGATGTGCCGGGGAAGCCCATGAACAGATGGGCGATGTGGAAAGCCAAGGCCGCCATTTTGAAGAAGCTTTTCAGAAAGTGTTGGATCAAATGCAACCGCAAGATTACTCACAATGGCTTGACTGCGTGGATGTCACCATTGAAGCCCGCAATTCGCTCTTGCGGCGTGCTGGCCACAGCCCATATCAGCTTGTGTTTGGTCGTGATCCAGAGTTTCCAGGTGATGATTTGGCATGTGAAAGTCCCAATCCCATAAGCAACAGTGCAATTCTAGAAGATGCCATTGCTGAATATCAGCATAGAGCCCGTAGTGTAGCACGTCAAGAAGTGTTGCAAACCTTGGATCATCCAGCCGCCCGCATTGCGTTGAATGCTCGCCCGCGCCCATTGCGTGAGTTCCGAGTTGGCGATGAAGTGGCAGTGTGGCGTCGAGGGAAAGGTTTGAAACGAAGTAGTGCACGTTGGAGGGGCCCTGGAATTGTTGCGGGATCAGCTGGGGGGAACTATTGGGTATCCATGCCAGGTTCGTTCATCAAATGCACCCCCGAACAATTGAGACTCCGTACTTGTGAAGAACGGGAAGCTGATAGGTTTTTGGTTCATCTTAGATCAGCCGCCGCCGCCCTCTGGCCTGAAGCGTTTGGCGACCCAGCAACTTCTTGGTCCAACACAGAGGATTTCAGAGCACCATGATCCGACAAAGTTGCCAATGCGCTACTTGCATGGAAATGTGGCTACTCTATACTTGATGTATGTTGCTCAATGCCAGGTGCAAAAGGAGAAGCCTGCTTGCCGCACAGTCTTCTACCAGATCTACAAGCACTGGTGGGCGTGCCTCCGATTCCACAGGAAAAGCAACCATTCTTTGTGCCATGTCTGCGCGCAGCTTCGTTCAAAGATCCATGCTGCAAAGGCTTCTTGGTATTGATAATTAGTCCCTGGTTTCACCCCACCCCACCCCTCCTCCAAAAAAAAGAAAACCTTGTTTTTTTTGGAACCATTATGCGTTTCATACCTGCTGAATCCGTTTCATACCTGCTGAGTCCTAGGACTTTCAACTTCATGCGAGCCTCTGTGACGAGCTGCTTTCCCATTTTACCCACCAATTCCGGGAACGTGAGATTTACTGGGCAGCCAGAGCTCAATCCCGACTTCGTCAAGAACTTTTGACCCTCATGTGCGACTCTTTTGACAAATCAAAGGTGTCCATACCCAAATACCCTTATGGAAGAACCCCAAAGCGGGTGATTTACGAGGAGACCAAACGAATCCTGGTAGAACATCCAAAGTTTTCTCAGGTTTTTCAGTCAGTGTATTTTTGTAAATTAAATTTTGGTTTGCGATCTTTTGAAGTGAACTTTGGCATTTTGTTTATCCAAGGAACGCACCTGACACTCACCTGCGTTTTGGCACACGGCTACGGCTGCTACATGTACCTAGCTGATGAAAGCATGAACGAGGGAAGCGTGTGGATCATGGAGTGTGTACTTTGGCAACATGTTTACAGCCCCGTTTAATTTTTGTCCTGCGTGCATGTTTTGTTGGAAATACATTTAAAGAAGAAGCATCCAGAAAAGAACCCTGAAAACACGTGAACAGAAAACCTGGAAAGAGACCAATCTTAGGTCATGCGCACTTTGGACAAAGTCTATGGAATCTGCCGCTCTGAGTCACGTCCCTTTCCAAATGAGCTCCTTGTCAGCAACAATGAACTTACATTGTTATTTCTCCCACTTTTTGTTTGGGGGTGTGGTTGGTGTATGTCAGGGTGCTTTCCATGTTTACAGCCCTTTCAGGTGTTGGTTGCAAGCCGACAACACTGTAAAGGAGGTTCGCAATGGGTATGTTGCCAGACTTGCAGCAACCCTTGTTCAAGGTTCAACCTTCTCTTGTATGTCCCACCACCATTTGGTGGTGGGACATACGCATGAAGACGTGGACTCAGTATTTTCTCTGGTGACCAGTGCTTTGTCAACCACGGCAACATTGATGACACCACGGGATGTTGAAGTTGCTATCACCAAAAAGTTGGAGCCCATCTTCGGGAAAAATGGAATGAAATTTGAGATTGAGTACGTCCAAACAGAACTTTGACTCAACTCATAGTCATACCTTTTCACTCCTATAAAGTCTGCAGTTGCACTTTGGTTGTCTTTTAATTACTTTGCAACTTCCTTGCATGCCCTTCAACTTAGGTAAGGGATTGGCATGACCTTTTGCCAACTGAAGTGACACTGAAGAACGCTTTCAGAGACAGAAAGGCAAAGGATGGGCAGGACAAGAAAAAAATCCCCCAAAGCTTCACCTACCTGTGCCGAGAAGGTTGGACAGGGTTTTTTGTTCTGCAAAAAAATCCACGGTTTCAAAATGTTTCAACAGTTTTAAAGGTAGGGGCTCAATGTTTAAATGTTTATGGTTGACCTTTACACTGGTTGGCTGGCCCACAGGCTTGCCACCTGATGTGGTGGAAAAAGATGAACGACTTCCCCGGCATCTCAGGGAAAATGACTTTGACAAGACGCGTCTTGACGTGTTCGCACTTGTGAAGGCGCACATGAGTGACACTTTGCTACAACAAAATCCTTTGCTAGTTCTGCCGCAGACCCTTATCGCAGCGACAGAGCGATTCTACAATGGTGCCAACACAACGCGCAAGACTCTTGCGGGGCGATTGAATCCAGTCCCTCAGCCTGTTTATTTAGATGTGATTACTACTAACTACCCCACTTAGATGTAATTTACTACCCCTATTTATTCTAAGTAAACAATGTTGAAACATAAGCATGACCTCCTGCCTTCCCAGGAGCGGGAAGAAGAGTTGCGCCTCCTTGCTGATGCCATGGAGCAAGACTTCCCCCACCTGCAAAGAACAGTGCGGTATTACCGCAGCTTGCTGGAGCCAGTGGTGCCGTTGAAGCCTTACCCCCGCTTAGCATTCCTTGAACATGCCCCCAATGCTGGGCGTCGTTGGTGTCAAATCAGATTAGGGGACAGACCACCCCAGCCAAAGCCGCATTGTTTGGAGGTGGTGTTTCACAGGGCTCAGGGGTAGAGCTACAAACGAGATTGGGGGCGATGCTGATAAAGCAAAAAAAACATCATTGCAAACAAGTGCATTTATGGTGGGAAATGTGAAGGTCTTGGAACCACAAGAAGCAAAGTTGGAATATGATGGAATATGTAGGTTCTGGCCCAGAAGGTTGGTCTCTGGTTGGTAGTTCACTGCCTGGGTGGCAGCCATGGAAGAGCCTGGCCATATGGCACTTGTGCAAGTGCAGGCGTACTTTGATACAGCTCCCAGCCCGTATGAAATTTAGTTTTTCTTGTTTCCCATTAAGTGTGTTAGTAGAGGGTTAGTTATCGGTTATCGGAAGCTATCGGCATCAAAATTTATATTTTCATCATCATGGTAAATAGTTAAAAGCCCACAACTTTCCCAGCTGAGGTGATCGCAAGTAAAAACTTGGGCGACCATTTGAATGATGTGTTTGCCGACCGGAAGAGGATGGCCGAGGCCGGTATCTGATGAAACTTGTGCGTCCCCAAAAGGATATAACAGTTGCCCCTTCAGGCAATTAAGATCTATGTGGACTCCCTGCCCGCTTCACCCAGCGAACCTCAGCGTCGGGTCTTGTCGCTGACGCCTGGCGAGTCAATGTCTGAGTTCTACCTCCCCTTGCAGAAGTTTGATTTCTCGCCGGCTGGCAAAAATGGATGTTTCTCATCAAAAAATGGTCACAGTCTCTATATTCTAATTGCTTTTGGTTGTAGCGTGGTGGCCCTAAGGATACTTGTCAAACATCGTTCCATTTGCTTTTAGTTGATGGAACAAACCCTGCAGATTATCCCAACAATGGTCAGTTTGCCCTCCACTTTGGGGAGTTCCTTCACTACGGATACCGAATTGAAGCCGAGAGTGTCATGTGCAAATTCCCGTTCTCGGATGGGAGCCGACAGATCGACGATTGGACTGTTGGAACAGTGGATGGGCAAACGAAAGTCCTCCTGATGCTCAGCATCGTTGCCATTTGCTATGAGCTGGAGATCAAGATTAGTGACCTTGGTCCCCTCGCTTCTACGCTGCGCAGCTTCAAATTCGTCCGTTGTGGCTACAAGCACTATGATCACCCAGGCTCACATTTCCTTCACTCTTTGAGTAGCTTGGCTCGAAACTGTGTTGTATGTGTGTGTGTGTGTGTTTTTGTTCAACTTTATTTTAAAGATGCTTGCAACACATTGGAACTAAGAACTGGGATACGTCACAAGCGAAAAAGTGTCCCCGTCGCCAGTGGCAATCCTGGCAGATATCAGTGCTGCGATCGACTTGGAACGCAGGTCTTGCACTGGAAGGCCTATTCCTTTGCGTGATCTCTTGAACAGGGTCATCGCGGAGTACAACAAGATGGTCAGTGTGAAGAAACACCGCATTGACACCGGTCGCAAGAACTTGATCTACAACCTGCCCCTTGGCTCAATAATTTCATGTTGCAGTTTCAAGCATGGTGGTTTTGTTTCCTGCTTTTTGTAGGCCATTGATTTGATTGCCCTGATGTCACTGAGTCTTCGCTCGCCCAAGAAGTTTGTGCAACTTGTTCACAGCCACTATGACAGCTATCGCCATGAGCAATCAGGCAATGCTGTTGTTTCAAGCGTTATCAAAATCTTAACCTACTAAACTCTCATGGGAGGGTCCACAGTTCCCAGTAACTTCCCAGACCTCCTTCTGCCCTGCAGGCCTGCCGCTGGAAATCTTGCAGAGCGACTTTTGGGTACCTGGGAACACATCGCGTGCTGAATCTGCACGCTATGCCACCAAGCAACAGTTCCAGGAGATCTTACAGACCACTGAGGATTCAGCTTTGATGTGGGCAATGCGTGCGACAAAGGACTTTGGGATTGAAACCATCATTTTTGGAAACAAATAAAAATATTCTATATAAAGTAAAGTCTATTACACAATTTACAAATTATAATAATATAATATATTTAATGATATAAGATATTATGTAGACTTAGCCTTACTTGCAGTCAAGTGCTTTGCTATCAGGACTTTTCTCGCAAAGCCAGCAAAGATGCGACCATGAAAGCAAAGGACAGCTCAAACACAAAAAATGTTTTTTGTTTCAATCAGCAGATGAAGCCTAGATTTAAATCCATCAACTCTGCAGAAAATGGCCCAACTTGATGAAGATGGTCACCTCTTACTCTTTGATGTCTGTTGCTTGTGGATTTGGGTCCGGGCAAGCCTCCAAAAGAGCTTCAACGTCGAGATCATCTCCAAGCACGATGATATGTTCGAACGTGGGTTCCTCGCCTGCATGATGATGGATGGGCAAAGGATTGGGTATAGGCATAGGGGATATGGCATAGCAAAAAAAAAACATAGGTCGCCAAATGGATTTGGCTATCAACCATGGGGCGCCAAATGGATTTGGCTAGCAATCATGGGGTGCCAAATGGATTTGGCTAGCAATCATGGGGTGCCAAATCGATTTGGCTAGCAATCATGGGGTGCCAAATGGATTTGGCAACCAAAATTGTGATGGGTTTTCCAGAAAACCCGTCACAAAATTCAATTGCTAGCCAAATGAGTTTGGCCACAAGAATCAATCATGAATCTCAACTGGTCCCAACTTAAAAATTCTGATGGGTTTTCCAGAAAACCCGTCGCAATATCCAAGAATCCGGGGCTATCAATCATTTCCCCTGGGGAAAAACGGCGTGGAAATGGTGATGGGGTACCTGGGAAACCTAGTATTTTGTGATGGGTTTTCTAGAAAACCCGTCGCATTTCTTCTAGGGAAATTTCCCCGTAAGTGTGATTGATTTTTCCTATTTTTTTGGTAAAATCCCATCGATGCATTTTTCCCCATCAATGTGTTTACTTAACCCTTCTTGCAGTTTCAAACCCAGGGCCCTCGATGCAGATCTTGGTGCTGTGATGAAGGCGGGTGAGCCTTTTGACATCAATCGCATTCCGTTTGTCTTGGAGGCCTGCTTATGAAAAATCCAGTCAGTTTGTAACACCCACTACAAAGCCCAACATGTTATGGGAAACACTTTTAAACAGATAGTTTACATGACTCTTACTTACAATTCATACTATTCAGCATTGCCAAGAAGATCTCGACATTTAGCATACATACCATCATATGTACTAGCAATCTGTTTGAAGGCGTTGATTGGAACCTTTGTTATATGACTGGCGGCCCATCCCCAACTAGGATATATTAGGATTATTGTTGTGCCAGTATCCCTGTCAGATTCGTGGCAAGAGCATGGAAGAGTATGTCTCCAAGAACCAAGACCGGGCCAGAAACGCTCACTTAAAGAGCCTAGATGCGGCCTTCAGTGCATGGACTGAAGACTTGAAGTCGGATCAAGCGCAATTTGAAAGTGACCGAATCTTGCTGCTTGGCTTTGCAATATCCAACACATTCAATTTCTGAATCAGTCGGATCATGGATATTATATTATATAGTCATCTTGTATCAATGTACAACATGATCTTGAGCTGCAAGCTGGAAAGCCAATAAACAAATGTGGGAATTTGAATATCTCAAAATAAGCGGGGTGCCCGAAACTTACAATTTATTCAATCAAAAATCAAGTTTATGGTTTTGAGACAGCCTTTTCGGAATCTCACCTTTAAATATCTAAGGGCAGAGAAGGAGAAAGGCAAATCCAGAGCAAAGCTTGTCAAGCAACTGGAGGACATAACCACAATACGGTGATTTCTTATCAGACAACCTTGACAGTGATATAACAAAAATAAAGCATATTGCACACCCCCTTTCCAATCGCAGGAATGCCACGACAGAGCCTGGCAAACAGTGCGAAAATTCCTGGAGGAGAACTGCATGGTCTTTCCTGCCAAGAGCGCGATGGATGCGGAATCAACAATCATGCCAAAATGCCGCTCATGGATCCGGCGTTGCCTTGAAGATGTACCAGACTGCACCAGTGCCGAGGACCACTCTGTCGTGATTTGGCTCAATGCCCCTTCGGTGGGTATTATCCCATCAGCCAAGTACGAATTTTATTTGACCTTTGTGACCAACATGATGGCTGACTATGCCAAGAACGGAATTTGCCTGATCATCTTTCCGAACAGAGCGTCGCAGTATGAACGAAGGACACCCGGGACCTCTCTACTCCATTCCATGTTAAATTGTTTGAGAACAATTCATTAATTTTACCAGTGCCCAATCCAGAGAAAGATAATCGATCCTTGTAAGTTTTGCAAAGAAAGTGGAATCCAAAGTTTCAGATATCATTTATTTGTTCTAACTCAAAAAGTTCGAGGTTTCAAGGGTTCAAGCCAGCAACCCCAACACCGAAAATCTGCTGAAGGAAAAAAGTGAAAGTCAGCAAGGAAGAGGAAGACGATAGCAAGACAAAGGAGGAGACGAAGAATGAATCCGATCAAAGTGATGACAATTCCGACGGAGATGGCAACAGCGGGTCCTTTGCAGCTGGTGAAGACGCAGAAGTGCGTGATGTGATCTACAAGCTGGAGCTGCTTGCCTTGTCAGACAAAGGGTTTCTTGGAAAGTCTTTAATTCCCAAATGCCAACTCGCACTAAAAAAAACCTACTGCACATTCCAGTGCAATGACTTAGTGCTCTGATTGTGTTTTGGTCTCCCTCTCTCTCTCTCTCTGTGTTCACCCTGCCTTGTGCTGTCAGCCCATGGCCCAACAGCTCAGGAGCGACCTGCGGATGAAGGAACGCAACTTGACCGTGCGCAGTCTCACATGGGTCTTTGACCCTGATCCTTGGGCCTGCAACTAGTGATTGCCAGCCAGTGACAATCAGTGACATGTTGAAACTTACTATTAACTGTGAATTCTATCATTTTTTTACTGGTGACCACTTGACTTTTGTGCTGTGTATCTTGCCCTTCTGGTGGGGCAACATAGTGTCGAAATTCAGGCCACGATCTTTGGAAAAAGAGATGGAGTCTTGAATGGCTTGGCAGTGACATCATCAGACAAGATGAATGCATTCAAGTCTACTCGTGGATGGAAACAGGGCGTAGTACATTCTGTGGAAATGCTACCAAGAAGCCTCATGTGGAAGCCTGACACAGCTTCTTGACTTCAACTTTTTTACTGTGCAACCGTTTAAATCAAGACCATGCTCTTTGGGTTTCTCTTTAAACTCCTCTATGCCCTGCCATTGCCTCCTGAGGCAAGCCCAACTCGTGGTGTGGCATTGCCGCACCTCGGCAAAGCGTTCACAGACGTCCAGGAGTTGAAGCAAGCCCCTTGGCTGCCTTTTGTCTCTGTGTTTGTTGTACCGGCTTATTGTCAAGATATGTCAAAAACTTCAACGGCTATGATACTTGATCTATCTTGATCTAAGGTCGGTGGTGGCACCGACATCATCAAAAAGTCGCTGCAGGCATTTTGCCCGCCCAAGTCCCGCACCAATGTGTTGGTGGATGTAGCTGGGTACGACGCCTGGCTGGCGCTTGCAGCTCTGGAGGCCATGCCTTTTGAACATGTTGGGAAATGTTGGGAAACAACATGAAAAATATTACAATTATTATGAATTTCTTTTCGCTAATGTTTGGATTTTTTGATTCAAAAAAAACAATCAATCTGCACAACAACTCTGTTTCAGGAAATGAAGACCGTCAGAACCTTTTGTGCAACATTGGTTCTGGACAACAGCGGGACCGAGTTGGTAACCAGAATCAGCAACCGGGTCTACACCATGTGCAGGGCAAATGACATGAACGTGCCAGGGTTCCCAGACTATGGACCAACAATCGATGCATTGAAACAAGGCTCAACACCGACGGCACCCCGGTCTTACAAGGTCTGCATTCAGCAGGCTGATCGTTTGAAGGTGCTAGAGAGCTATGCGGAGAAATGGGTGTCTACGCCTTCAACTGTGGACAGGGCCACTGAATTGATTGAGGCCCACAATTCGACATACAATCCTGATGCAGAATGGTGGGTTGCCGACAAGAATCTCATCAGCACCAATCACACTCCAACTATATGGTCCTGGGGCATCACATACTCTAATTCCTACTTTCCCTTCCCATCTCAGCACCTGTTCCCCCAAGGAGCGGGCCTGCAGAAAGTGAAGATCGACCTGTCAAGCGGATCAAGATTGAACCTAGCAACAAAGCAACCCAGGAGGACATCACCAGCTTGGCCAACCCGTGACTAGTTCCAAGCAGTTGGCCTTTCGCAAAACGTAATTATGTCAGGTTTCTTTTTATGCATATAACATTTAATTAATCAGCAGTCTATTAATGAAAGATTAACTATACAATGACTTATAATATAATTATATATTAATATATAATATAATATTATGACGATGAGCCATCATACCTTCTACTTTACACGACTTGAGGTACCGATTGGTGATCAACAACACATGCGAGATGATTGCCGGGGGAGATGGACAGCTTTTCCTGAGCTCCAAAGGAACGAACCAATTCTTTGCAGGGCGAGAGATGTTGCTTGGTTGACTATTTTGTGAACCCTTCAGCTATCCCTGGCAAGAATCTGATCTTAGCCTTTAGTCATCATAGTTATATATACTGTGGAACTGCTCCAAACGCTGAGGTTTAGCATGGGGAGTGGGGAGTGGAGGGATGGGCAAGCTACTTGGCTAATGACACTTGAACTTTGAAGCTGTCAATTTGGAAGCTGTCCAATCTTCTGCCTGTCCCCATCGCTATGCCTCTAAGGAAGCCCGTGAAGTTCTCGCTGACGTGCAAGGCCGTTGGTGGAGGTTCAACCTGGACATGGCATCGCTGCTGCTGGTCGAGAAGAAGGGTGTGACTGACCACTTGTCCAAATTGGAATGCGTGGACACCCCCACTCGTCTTGATGAAGTGTTGAAACAACTTGAGGATTTGGGAGAAGCCACTCATCTTGAACAATTGCAGTTCCCTTCTCAACTCTGTTCATGCATGAACATCATCAACAAGCTATACAGTTCTAAGTACACTCACACACCAGAGATTCAAAGTCTTGAGAAGTCAACGAGCTAACCACTTGAAAGTAAACACACACACACACCTACTACGCAGAGATTCAGACTTTTCAGAAGTTATTCCTTCCGTCCAGACTTAATATTGTCCTAAGGTGAAGTACCAGATCTCCCACCATGTGTTGGAGGGCACGCATATCGCTTCTATGAAGGAGATTGCCTTTGTCATGGATGCCCCCAAGGAAGATGATGATCAAGGTGCAAAGAAGAGGAAAAAGGAGAAGAAGAAAGATTCCAATAAGAACACCCTCTCCATCAAGAACTTCGGAAGTCGACTGGACGTATCAAAACTGAAAGGGTCAGATTACCTTCAGTTGTGCTGGCGATGCCGCGTGGAAGCGGCAGGGGATGGGACCAAAACGATCATGCCCATCAGGCCCACCATGTGCCTCACAGGGATGCTTGAGCTGGAAGATCAGATCCTTCGCCTCATGTAGCAGCCGGGTTGGTCAAATGGCCAGCTTTTTTGGGTTGCTTTTCACGACTACTGGTTGGTGGCAGGGGCGCCGCTAGCTTTTTGTGGCAACTGTTAGAACAAATGCCATCAAACATCTAAGTCTAGCAAACTCACTTAGATTGATTTTGTCTTCAAAGACTTTCAATTTCAATGTAGTCGCCAATCCTGTCCAAGGGAGGGCACTCACCAACAATGTGGAGTGCCATGTTGGGAACCTAGGCCTGGGGAACCCAACCATTCGATTGAATGTTTAGTCCAAAAATACAATCAAGAAATATCAAGAAAATGTTTGTTTAAAACCCATGCCAAATGACCAATGATCGAGCGGTTGGGTTGTTTTCCATGGTCTGGGCCGTAGAGTACAGAGCTTCAGGAGCTCTGCCATGTCAAAATAATCTTATTTTTGCATTATCTGCATTTTGCCATCACAGAATCTATCTTCGTGTCAAGCTTGGATTTAGACGTTGGAATGGGCATGCTGATGTGCTTCAGTAATCATGGTTACATTTTACATTGCATTCATCAAGTGCTAGTCTAGTCAGGGGTGGGGCGTACCGGGCAAAGCTTCGCACCATGGCCGACGATTCTGACTCTGATGTCGTGGAAGAGGTCCCACTCACGGCAGCCCTTAGAGTTCCTGCTACTTGTCATGGTTTAGGTCTAGCTAGGAAGCATGACAACATCTCAATCTATATTAATATTATGCATATTATACTTTTTTAAAAACTATGTCACCATATAACTGTTGAAATTTATTGAGGAAAAGCTAGGCTATAATAAAATAGTATCCCTTCATGTTGATGCTCCTGACCTTTACAAAAAAAAGGAATGGTGTCGGGGTCTATACACCCTTTAAAGGTCCCACTCAACCTTTAAAGGTTCCTAAATCATCGACCTCCAAACTAAGGCTTTCAATCTTGGGAGCATCCTATCGGAGAACTATGGCGGAGAGCAGCCAATCACCCCTCGCCCCAAGATGAGGGCCACACCGCCATCTTCAGCAGCTGGTTCAGCCCAAAGGCCTGCACCGGCAGCAGAGACCAGCCCCTTGAAGCCATTGGTTCAGTGCTGATTATGTGCGTCTTTCTGTTGTGCGAGTCTTTCTGTTCCGTTGTGCATCTTTCTTTATTTTGGTGAGGTTCTGGAAGCAACACGGTGGGCGTCCATAGTCTTCCACCTAGGGTTGCCTCTTCTGATGACTCTTCTGGAGAGAAGACCAAGAAGAAGGTAGATGAGAAGAAGGTAGAGGAGAAGAAACCAAGGAAAACCCAGAAGAAAGAGAAGTCAACAGCTGCCAAGGCAAAGAGCAAGAAGCAAAAACAAGCTGATGACGAAGAGGAAGAAGAAGTGACAGCCGACCATGTGCCACTGCATGGTGGCAAAGATGACTCTGATGATAATGACGATGACAGTGCTCAAGGTTTAGACGAAGATGGAGACAAAGGGGATGATGTGACAGGCAGCAAGTCCAAGAAGAAACCGGCCAGCAAAGGTGTAATGAGAAAGCCTGCAGCAGCAAAGAAAGTGAAGAAATGCTGCGATCAGGACTGATTTTTTTGTGTTGTTGTATTTCCATGTTTTATGGCTCATAGATTCTATGGAGAGTTTCCGCCCTGCATGTTAGGAGGAGTCTGACCAACGCCTGCCGTTTCGACATCTGATTGAAGACCGTTGCAACAAGTCGGATGAGTCTGATCAGACTGCAGTGTATGATCCGAGTCTTGGCCATCATATATCTCATGAATCTGCATATTATGAGACATCAGTGTAACATCCAATGAAAGGTTGCTCAACCATCGTAGGGATAAGTGAGATACTTATTAAAGTTGCATACATTTTGACACAGCTATCTTGTTTGAACATTTATAATTCTCATCATTGTTTGGTTCTCCTTTACTGCTCTATATCTACACTCTGTCTGTCTAGTTCTATCGATCTAAATCTACATTGTTTTATCTTTATTTTTCTATCTACACCTACATGGGGCCCCACATGTATGTTTTATCTTCATTGACCAAGATCTATCTATAACTATTACCTATCTCTATCTTCATCTACTTTTCCATCTATATATCTTTTATTTGCATGTTTATTTTATCTATCTATCCTCCAGTCCGTCTACTTAGGTGTCTATCTATCCATCTATTGATCTTTCGATCCATTAAGATAATGACTTCCAGCTATCTTTTCTTTACCACCTTTTCATCATTCTTCCCATCTGTCGATCTAATCTCTCCCTCAGCGCATCGGTTCAAATCTACATAGATCAACTAGGTAGATAGATAGATCGATAGATAGCTAGATAGGTAGATAGAAAGGTAGATAGATAGATACATGGATGGATGGATAGATAGATAGATGAAACATAGCTAGAGATTGTACTTAGTTATTTAAATAAATAAATATAACTAAAAATAGATAGATAAAAAAAATATATTTATTTACAGTATATATATAATATAAATATTATATATTATGTTATAATTAGATACATTATATTTATATATTAAAAATAAACAATTCTTATGTGTATATATATATATTGCTGATGTACCTACTTTGTTTCCCGGTCAGTGTCTTTCTATGAATCGACTTTTTATCTATCAATCCATCCAGCAATCTATCCCACCTTGCCAAGACTTAAGAATGTTGTTGGACCTGTTGCAGCATCCAAGCCCACAGCGGCCTCAGGAAAGATGTCGAACTTGGTGAGCTGCTTCCGGAGAATCTGGCAACACCGGTCGCCGGTGGAGAAGTTGGTGAGCGAAGCCCCCATCTTCGCAAAATGACCCACCATTTAGGGGAGGAGGAGTACCCTGACAACCAGCTGGGTTTTGTTGAAGTCAGATTTCGTTCCCCTGGATGGATCTCTGATGTACCTAAGTTGCATTTGATCTTCATTGAGTTGGGACTACAGTACTCATGGTGTTATTTTTGTTTAGTAGGCAATCTGCTATCCTGTTAGGTGGCAGCCCAAACGGAGATCGACCCTGAGAGCCTCGGAGATCAACATCTCGAGCCCTACGAAGATACTTGCCATGACATTGGTCCTGAGATGACTCATCAGCTGTGTGCTGTCCGACTTCTATCCCCTCCCTTAATGAGCTTCGATGTTTTTGCGTTTTTTGTGCTAAGGATCCCATGCATTCTCTTGCCATGGACTATCTGCACCCTGCCTATGGGGAGCAGGAGATTCTGTTCCGTAAGTCCAGCATTCAAACATACCGTCACACTAAAGACAGCAAAAAAATATTAGATATATCGCTGTGCATCTGAGTGGATGGGAGGAATGCGTCACAGATGGGCAAGAGTATGTGTTGCCTGAGCCTGGTGATGTCCCTATGATGGAATGCAATGAGACTGTCACGCTGAGCTCCCCTGAGCATGTTATGGCACCTCAAGATGTTGATGAACTTGGCGCTGTTACCCCTTCGACTTCCCACCTTGATGCAGAGGGCACCAAGACTCCACCCAATGACAGCCCCAAACCTGATGGACATGGAAACCTTCGACAAGCAAAGAGCAGTGGGGTGCGATTGGGCTCACCATCAAAGGAGAAGTCTGAGAAAGCTGCTGCTCCCAAGGCGAAGTCTAAAGCTAAGGGAAAGAGCAAAGCAACACCCAAGGCGAAGTCAGCACCGGTCGCTAGCAGCGGAAGCAAGAAGAGTGGAAAAGAAAGCAGCCAGGGCAAGAAGGTCAAGGAGAGGAAAAGCAAGTCCAAGAGTGCTACCAGTACCACAAAGAAACCCGCTATCAAGGTGACGCAGAAGAGGAAACGCGCTGATGATGAAAAGAAAGCGGATGAAAAGAAAGAGGATAAAAAGGAAGAGTTGGTGGATCCAGCCAAGGCTTTGAGGAAAAAGCTCCATTGTGTTACTCAGCTCCATTGTAATGTGCTTAGAAAAAACAACCTGCCTCACACTGCAACTAAGGTTTACTGTGCGGTTTACACCCAAGCCAAAAAGCTTGGCTTTGAGGGGGCTGACGCCAAGAGCCAAGCATGGGTCGCCCGAAAGGAGCCTCTCGCATGCATTTTGCGCGATTAGATGGTTTACACATTAGATGTTCGAATGTGATTGGCCCTTGTCACTATCTAAGGTATATCATTGAGAATGGTCTGGAGAACAACCCAGCGGCTCAATTTGCGCTTTGAGAGGCATTTAGGTCTCACCAAATTTAAATGTGATTTGATTTTGTTGAGCTATCACGTTCATAAAATTATTATATAATAACATTTTTTGGAAACCCCAACACTCCTAAAAAGTTCCTCAGTGTAAATTTTAATTTCAACTTATCATAGTCTGATGGCTCATGGTCTGGCGACGTGTTTCTCAACATGTGCAGCCAAGAATCTACCAGCATATGCAGCTGGCACTAGGGGATCGGCCAGCACAAAGCAAAAAAAAGCTGGCAGCAGAGGTCGAGCTTGGGACTCAGTTATCAAACGCAAAGGGGCCACTCACAACTGGATTTGATTAGAAGGAATCGATGGTAATGGGAGTTGCCTTCTTCTTTGGAGTCTTCTTGCTGGTTCTTTCTGAGGATGCCGAAGGCGATTGATCTGCATGTAGGAACTTGCGTTTGCTCCCAAATGTGCAGGTACCCTTTTGCCATTGCCAGCAGGTTCTCTTCTTGGGTCCAGCTGAAGATGAACTTCCTTTACCCTTCCCTCTTGATGAATCTCGACTTCTACTTCTACCTTTCTTGTCTTTCATCTTGGCATCACAGACCTTCTGAGAATGACTGTATAGACATTTGTCGCCCTTATTGCACCCACCTTTGTTGAAGAAATAGTTGCAGAAAATCTTCTTCTTATCGACAGGTGAAGACGATCTACCCTTCCCACCTTTGCCTTTCTTGTTGTTCTTGTCGGCATGTGATTTCGGAGAAGGTGTCGGGAGGACTGAGGCAGCTTCACTCTTCGCTTTTGCCTTAGGTCGCTTAGGAGGATCACCCGTAGATGATGCTGCTGCTTCGTTC